ATACGATTATAACTGCGAAAAAACTATTTATTAATTGTTTTTGGTTGAAATTTAATTTATTATTTGTTTGCATGCTATTTTGCGTGAATTATTTTTGGTTATTTATTAAACACATATATGCATATATGTGTGTATGTATTAGTAAGTGTGCATTTTAATATAAATTATGTTTAATTACATTTAAAATCTTTTTGTTTTGAAATAATTTTATTAACATTTAATACAGATACAATTAAACGGAGTAAATTGGCAAACATTTTTTTATTGGAAAAATAAAGTTAATTAAATCAATTAATTAATTATATTTTTTTAAATTTATTTTAGTAATTAATTAATTTTTTTAATTAATTTTTTTTTTGTTAAAATTTTGTTTTTCAATGTAAAATATAACTTTTTAAAAAAATCGTTTTATTTAATATGTTCTTATATTAATATTTTTATTATTTTTTATAAATGATAATTTATTTCATTTCATCATCTTTAATCATACAATTTATGTATATAGGTATATATGTATATGCTATTAATCAATCATTTGTTATATATTTTTATAAATTTTTTTGTAATTTTTTCATGTAATTTTGTTTATAGAAGTATATATGTATTTACGTATATACTTGCATATATGGAAGAAAAACAATCCATAGTCTAACATTCATACTTTATGTGTGTCTGTTTATGATTTGTTTTAAATATTTAATTTAATGTTATTCTAATAATTATAAATATTTATATAATGCATATTTGGGAGCATATGTATAATAAAAACATATGAAGAATAAAAAAATCACAACACCATACAGATAACTGCTGCTATCTATGGATAGATAGCTCTTTTAGGCATATAAATATGTATGTATGTGTATAAAGTTATATATATATATATTATCAGTGATTCCTAAATTTCAGAATTTTTACTAGAATGCAGCAATATGATTTTACAAATATATATATTTCAAGCACGCATAAATACATATGTATACATTATATACATTTATAGCGGTATATATGCAAAAAGATTTCATACATAAATATGATTTCTGAAGTGAAGTTCTCAGCACTTTTTCCACACATTTTACGTTTTTAAATTGTTTTAGATAATAATTTTTTTCATTTATTAAGGTTTTTTTTTTACATAGTTTAATACTGTTTTAACAATAAAAGTCCATCGAAAAATTTAATTAAATATTTTTCTTTTACGAAATTGCTCAAGTACTGCAATTTTAGTATCTTAAAACAACTAAAGACTGTTTTTTTTCGCACTAAATAAATTTTCTATAATTTTTGATACATTTTAATGGCACCAGCTGTTTCAAATTATTTTCACTTATTTATTTGTAAATATGTATGTTAAAGGCCATGTAAAACCTGTTCGTTTTGTTGCCTTAACATTTAAAGTTCTTCAAATTTTTTTCTTATTCTTTGGAAAAATAAACTTTTTATGAAATAAAAAACACTTATATCTACATACAATTTTATATATTATATATACATATATCTTATAACTATATGCTCAAAGGACTCTAAGCAAACATGCGTAACTGTAAATTGGAAATTGGCATACATTCTGCATAACTTTTGTTATCGTAAATATCTATATATGTATATGTAAATATGCACTCATTAAGCCACTCTAAAAATGAACGCATTTCTAAGTTGCAAACTTTTCGTTGCATTTGCCAGATGAGAATTTTCATATGATTTTTTGTGCTTTCTTCGTATACCTTACTTATCTAGTTTGTGGTTTAATTTAGCGGCTATGCTAAATAATAATTTTGTTAATTCAAAAACTTCAATTTCAATTAACAAAATTATTATTGTGCCAAAAGTATAAGGATTGTTAAAAGAAAGTAATACACACTTAGCCTTAAATTTTTTTAAAAAATTTTTCCTAACCTTTGCTCGTATACTTGTTTTAACGCCTACTTAAACTGTTTATTACGAAAACTTTCCCGAGTATACTCAGCTTTATATTTAGCTTATTTTTTCTATTAAGTCTACTTTACACTTATGCACTTATTTATCTAAAGTTAATGTATACCTACATATTATGCCAATACAAAACCGTTTTTTTTATTATCAAGACACACACATACAGCTACAATCTCAGCAGATCTATTTCGGATCTAACCTAGAAACCATTTTTGCAATTTTCATTTTTCTCACAGCGTTGCGTTTTTCTTTTGATGAGTATGATCTTTTACCTATACTCCTTAAAGACCTTTAGAAATTAAAAAATAATGAGTATAGTAATGGATTGTTCTATAGTTTCGATTTTTAATATACCTTATATTTGTTGGCATACAGTAAAGAATCAGTAATATTAAATTATGTTACACATATATAAATTATAGTTCATATAATATTGTAAAGAGAAACTAAAAAAATAATAAAAATAAAGAGAAACTAAAAAAATAATATGCCATGCTCCATGCATCGAAAGAGTCAAACGTGTTCCATGCTTCACAGGGCCACCAAAGCTATTAATGTTCTGCATTTCCAATTATCAAAAAAAGATTATATTATTATTAGTAGTAAAGGTTATATTATTGAATACTGTTAAAAACTCTAGTGGGAATCCGAACGCGCAGGAGAATTAAAACTATTGCATCCGCCATTAAAGTAAAATAATGAGATATAACCTGAAAACTTATTTTGTGAGCTTTTTCTTATAGTACTCAAGACCCTAATATCCGTACTAAATAACCCTGTATTGACTACAAACAGTATCTATTTAGCTTTATTGAAGCTGATAAGTAAGGTTTGTACACCTAGAAGTGGGCTATTTCGTAAAAGAAAAGTTAAAATCTTTGCCTAAGGGAAAATTTAATTTTTTGGAAAAAGCTCGTAACTTTATTGGAGTCAGTTGTACAAATAGTCAGTCTAGCGCCTCAATAGTTAGCAGCTTTTTTTAAAAATAGTAGCTCTGTTAAAGTTCAAAATAGTCAGTGAAGTGCCTCAGAAGTGAAAAGCTTTCTATAAGGGGTTATATGGTTTCACAGCTTCAGAAAATCTATTTTTTTTTATTATCTTATTTAATTCTATAACAACTCTTGAATATTGTACTAAATGCTCAATTTGATTCAAGTAATAGTTTTGGAGATATAGCCTCGAAGAGTTGCGCGCTCCAGGCTAGCTATATACGAGTCACTTAAAACTTTAAACGCGTGCTTCTCAAAGCCAGTTGTCAAAATTTCTCGAGAACTACTCAGCCCATCTTAATAATATTTTACCCTTATCTTCGAGATGTAATTTAAAAGGTCTTGAACGAAGGATATTTTTTTCAATTACAATGATTTAAAAAAAAAGAGTATAATTGGCATTTTTTGTTAAAACGTCTACCAAAAATACAATTTTCACTTTTTAAACTTTTTCTTCGTCCAATACCAAGCTTAGTCTTAATTCAAAGACGCATTTTATTATTTTTACTCCTTTGATTCTGTAAGGCTGTCAACGCGGAGGCATTTATTTTCCGAGGGACTGCCGGAAATGACGTCGTAATGGCCGATTTTTGAATATTGCCCTTTGAAAATTTCACCAAATCTTTGTAAGGTATGTCTATTTAAAATTATAAAAAGTTTGAATAAAATAGTTAATTTTTTATATGAAAAAAATAATTATTGAAATTAGGCTGGTTTTTGCTCGAGGAAACCCATGTAACGATTTAAGTAGTCATAAAAGCTCTCTTAAAGTTGCACGCTCGACTAAATGAAAAGCACAGAAAAAAAACATTTTGAAAATTAAGGGGCTAAAAGAAAGCATGCTTGCTAGTTATATCAGTGCAAAATTAGAGTATGACGAAGGACCATTAAGGTTTGAACAAAAACATGTTTGTAGAGAAAATCGGGTTAATTAAGAATAACTCATTTGAAGTAAAAGTCAAGCAAAAGTTAAAATTTGACAGATTATCTAAAGCAGCTCATATTAAGTGTCTGTTTTAAGTTTTATGGTGTGCTTTAAAACATTAAATTTTTTTTTTTTGTAAATTATCAAAAAAATAAAAACAAACAACATCTTGAAATAAAAACCAAAAATATTTTTTTTTCCATACATAATAATTGTATTTGTTTTTATTTATATTTTATTTGCATTTTTTAGCATTTTCATGCTTTCAACGGGCGTAGAAAAATATTAAACAGTCATTACAAACAGTTTGAATAGAGAAAACATAAATTTTTAACAAAATAATAAAGAAAATATTCCACGTTGCTAGTTACATACATATGTAAGTAGTTTTTATAATAATTTTTATAAATTTTTGGATTACAAAACATATTGATTACATCAAATAAGAAACGATAAAATTTTTTTCACATACAACGGTTTATCGCATGCTAACATTAAGGGCTTTCAAAAGACAATAAAAACACTTTCAGGAGAAAACCATAAAAAGGACGTAAGGTAGTACATTAAATGGCTGTGCGTATATGTAGCTTAAAAATACTAATTTACAAACGAAACTATTTACTAATATTTACGTTAAGCTTACATAATTTCACTGGTTCCACGATTGTTCGATATGCTAAAGACAGTTTGGCGGCGAAATGCCAAACATACCAGCGCCTACAATTGCACTTAAATAGCTAAAACTTAAATGCTAATTAAAACCTAGGTATTAGTATGCGTTTACGCATAAAAATATATGTGCATACATATGTATGTGTATGTATGTATGGACTAAGTATATGTTCATTTGCGTTTTTTGCTTTTGCTTTGCAAACATTTAACACGCAACATTTAAGAGAAAGCAAATACAAAGTTTTGGACGTTTTTGTTTTTATTTTTGTGTTTTTTGTTTGTTCTTTTTTGCGTTTTTTGTTCTTTGTGTTTAGACAATTATAAATAAATAAATTAGTACAGAAATTTAGTACATCAAGTTAATGAGTTTAGTTTCTAAAATACCATAAGATAAGTAATACTAATTTTTTGAAAAAAAAAAATTATATATACAAATATTTTTAATAAAAAAAAAAAATAAAAAAATGTTAAATAAATTATGTGAAAAAATTAGCTAATAATGAGGCGTACTTTTTAAATTATTTAAATTAGTTATTTGAATTAATTTTAGTTTAAATGTTAGGTTTTTCGTTTTTAATTGAAGTTTATAATTAAAATTAATTTATTACAAATGAGATCACAGTATTAGAGATATAAGTTAAATTAAGTTTTTCTTTGTGCTAAGTCTGCCACATTTTTCGCTTAAAACAGTAAACGTTTTGCTCTTCAATGCGGCATGTTTTTCAACAAAATTTTCTTAAAAATGTTTTTCATAGCAAATTATGCGCTGGTTAGTTGTTACTTAGCTTTGTTATTGTTTTGTGTTAACAGCTATCTTTAATATATATTTAAACCGAAAAAAAAAATTTATAGTTTCTTTGTGAGTTTACTGGAGAATTATTTGCTTTGTCTCTTCTTGTTTGTAACGGTTTAATAATGCATAGTGTTTATGTTTTTGCTTTTTTTTTAATTTCTTTAATAACATCGTAAATTTTATACTAAATAATAGCTTTATAGTAGGCTAAATTATGGTAAATGTCTTGTGTTTGTAACTGAGTTTAAACCTTGTTTATATTATTGGTTGTATTTTGTTTTTGTTTTGAACAGCAATATTTGATAGCAACAGTTTCGGTTTGTTAAACTTTTAAAGTTAACAATGTAACAACCTATGAAAGCGATTTTAATATATATTTTATAACCTTATAATTTTGACATTTGAGTTTTTCTCAAATTCCAACGATTTTGGTTGAGTGTTTCATAATTTCTTATTACCTAAACTATGTTTTGTTTTGTATATTTTTTTAATTTAACATACATATCTAATTTGAAATATTTGTAGCTTTTTAAATTTATTTTTAATATTTCAGAATTTTTTCCATGTTGAAGTCATCATCGAGTGTTTCTCACGCATGTGATTTTATAGTAGAGTTTTCAGAATCTTTTTTAAAGATTTTTTTACATGTTTGACTTAAATACTGTGGTTAATTAGATAGGTTTGTGTTTTTCGGATTGTTACGTTTCACAAAGTTTTTGTGAAAAACATATATATTGGCAATTGGCAGTTGATTTTAATGAAAAAATGATATAAATATATATCAGTGTATAAAATTGTTTTAAAAAATATATATATTTTTTTGAAATATCGAGCTGATAAGAGGACATAAACAAACTGAGCTGTCGCTAACATATTTTTGAGTTTAGAACAACCAGCAATTTTTAAAAGCTTTTGAAGCTTTCACTAATAACTCGAAAGCACACCTATAGAAAATGCTCGAATATTTAATTGCAAACTAATATGTTAGAAATATAATAAATAAAAACTAACGTTAAAAATGTTGTTGAAATATTTTCGTTCGCAAAGCTTTCACTTCAACTAAAGACACGAAAGCACATGTGTAAGAACTTTAGATAGTCAATTGTTAAGTATCAAAAAATGGACAACATAAATGTTTGCTCTTACTTTAAGCTCGAAAATATGACCGCAGATAATAAGAAGCTCTCAAGCTTTTCAACCAATTTCCTGCCAAATGCCAATGTATACATTTCAACAAATCATTTTTGCTATTTCACCATACTTTGAACCATATGTCTGTATGTATGTAGTTTTTGAAAATATTAATCTATACGCATATAAATGATAGCATTACTGTGTAAGAAATACTATTACCATATCCTTGTTGCTGCTAACCGACGCACTACGCGCGTTGAGACCACGCAATATGGTCACCGGTATGTTGCCAACAGACTCACTGTCATTATCACTATCAACCCGACGTACTGACAATGCGCTTGAGCTATCGCTTTTCATACGTATCACTGTTGTGTTTGTAGACGCTTCAGTAGTACTGATGGCGGTGTTGCTGACGATTGCGGTGCACTTATTGCGCGAGTTCAGCTCAATATCGTGTTCGGAATCGGTTTCTTCGTATTCTTCCATATAATAATCTTCACTACCCAACAAAGCATCATCTTCGGTTAGCTCGATATCTTCGGGCATTTCAGTGTATTCACCAAATACGTCTAAAGGGAATGGGAAAGCTGTAGGCGGTATATCACTGCGACTGCCGCGCAATGAAAGTTCCGCTGTGGGCATAACGTCTAGCGGTGTATTGGGTGAGAAGGGCGAGGAAAGCTCCGCATGCCAGTCCTCCACCATTAACGGTGTTGTTGTCAATGACGGCGGCGTTGTTCGTGAGATGAAATCTTTCGATGATGAATTAGTTTTGGCCTACAAACTAGTGGCGCTACTCGTCACAATGGGCAAATCGCCGGAATGAAGCATGTGATGGGTTGTGTGATGATGATGATGTTGCTGTTGTTGTTGTGCAGCTGCTGCTGCCACGGCTTGTTGTTGTTGTTGCTGCTGCTGTTGTTGTTGGCTCAGCTTGGATTCCTTCTTAATGCGTTGCTTGAGATGCACTTTGGCGTGGCGTTTCTTCTCATCGGAACGCGCAAACTTACGACCGCAGATATCGCATGAGAAGGGCTTTTCACCTGTATGCGTGCGTATGTGAGTTGTCAGATGATCCGAGCGGCTGAAAGAACGCATGCAAATGCGACACTGGAACGGCTTTTGTCCGGTATGTATGCGTATGTGGCGTGTAAGTTCGTCGGAACGCGAAAAGCGGCGATCGCAATTCTCCACGGGGCAGGCGTATGGTCGCTCATGCACAGGCGTTTTACTTGGCCGATTTGGATACTTGCGTGGCTTAACAGGCACCAGTTTGAGCGGCATCGTGCTCTGCTGATATACTTGTGACAGTATTTCGTGACCTTTGCTCGTTGATGGACTGTATTCAGCTAGCTGTACAACAGAGTAGCCAGATTGGCTGCCTTGCGATGCTGGCGGTTGCATATGGTGCGGCGGTGTGGGATCCGAGTAGGTCTCTTGTTTTGGAATGAGACCACCAATTACAGACGCTGCGGCTGCCGAAGAGGTTGCGGATGACGGACCGGGCACAACCAAGGACTGTTGTGCGCCACCGTATTCGGCCGGCGAATCCAGCCACTGGTATTTAGTGGCGGCAACGGATATTTGCTGGCGGTATTGTTGCAACTCATGGTTGGCTTGCGCCTGCTGCATATCAGCTAGGCTGGTGAAGCTGCTGGTGCTGCTATAGCTTGGCGGCGGTTGTTTCAATATAATAGGGGAGCAGTCCATATTGAGTCCGAGCAGCTCGACATTCTGCGTTGCCGCGCGCCCATCATCGTAGCCGCCGGTGTGCATGTGATGGGAGGGTGAGGGTGTGGACGATGGTTGCGCTATATTTTGTTGGGCGGCATAATGTGCTTGAGCCGTGCTCTGTGGACCAGGTCCAAGTAAGCTGAATATAGGCGGTTGGAAGAGTGTCTTATCGGGGCTGGGTAGACCCCAACTATTGCCAAGACCCGCAGACGGTGGTGACATTTGTCCAGGCAGCACACTCAATTGTGGCGAACCAATTTGTTGTTGCGTAGTTTGCTGATGCTGCTGCTGCTGCTGTTGCTGCTGTTGCTGAGTAGCGGCAGCGGCTGCGGCAGCTGCCGAATGCAGGCCGCTCATTGCTGTATTACCTGTAGTGGTGAAAATGCCACGATATGATATTTTGCCGCTATTGCTATTGCTAGTTGCATGCGTTTGTTGTTGTTGTTGTTGTTGCTGCTGTTGTTGGTGTTGTTGCGCATGCTGTTGTTGTTGATGTTGTTGGTGATGGTGGTGTTGATGGGCGTGTGGTTGATGAAGGCTATGTGCCGTTTGTTGATAGTGTGTATTATGTTGTTGTTGCTGCTGTTGTGTTTGCTGTTGATGGTGGTGTGTATGATGATTATTGTGTTGCAGGTGTTGTTGCTGATGTTGCTGGTGTAAGGTATTGTGGTGTGTTATTTGGTTTTGTTGTTGTTGTTGTTGTAAGTGATGTTGCTGCTGCTGCTGATGTTGATACGGGTGATGGTGGTGGGGTGAGTGTTGGCCGGCATGTTGTTGATGGTGTTGTGTGTGTTGTGTCTGTTGATGGTGATGCTGGCTTTGATGGTGTTGCTGTTGTTGTTGTGTATTGTTTTGTGTACTTGTATTAGCGGTATTATTACATAATGTTGTGCTTGTTGCTGTTGTTGTAGTTGTTGTTGTCTGATTCTGACTTAGATGTGTAGGGTACATGGTACAACTATTATTACTTGTTTCTTCCTTGACAATTGCCAAAGTTGGCGGCGTGCTGCGCTCCTCCTTCAATGGACTGCACAGCACCGGACTGGTCGTGGGTTGAGGTTCGAGGGACAAATCCTCGGATTCGATGGAACCTGCAAATAATTGAAGTAAAAGAAATCAGCATATAGTTGAGACTATTGGGTTTAAGAGCTTTAATTAATAAAGCTACTAAAATAATTTTACTAATTTTTAAGTTTTAAAAGCAACTTGTTGCTCTCGAAATATATGTGCGATTTCGTCCATGCAACATGTAGCCCTTTTTTCCACATCCCTCAATATAAACAAAAAGAAATCACCAACGTGTCAACTTACATGCTGCAACACCCAGCTGCCGGCTATCAATTAATTTCATGCAACAAAATCATTCAGCATTTTTCAAGCGCTTCCACAAAAAAGATATCCATGGCCGAGTGATTTCCGCGAATGCCGCCCAGTAGTTTGCCGACGCAGAGACGTTCGACGAACTTGACTGCTCGAATTGACAAAATCAAAATGCCAGACGGCAACCAGCAACTCAGTGGCTGCCAACCAGCCAGCTAGCGAGCCAGTCAGCTGGACGCTCCTTCGCGTTTCGCGAGAAATCAACACGGGAGGTCGGCAGCAGTAGCTTCAATTGCGAATTGCGACACAAGAAAAACATCGAGCGCCGCAGCAAAGCATTGGAAAGCAACAACAACAAGTGTGTTGGCTATAATGTTGATTGCCACCAAAGCATCAGAAGCATCAAATGAAGGGCAAAAAAGTGCGAATAAAGCACAACATTGGCGTGCAAAGAAGACTAATTACATTCCGAACACCGATGCTTGGACACTCTCTTGCCGTTGCAGATTTTTTCTCGACTTTTTCTCTTGTACGTATTGCATTGTCTGCATTACAAGCATTCGCGTTATTCTTCGGTTGCGAATTGATTGAGTTGCAATGCGCTTTAAATGTGGCTTGACATCAATCCTGCGTTCGCATTGTGACCGCATGTGAACACTTGTTGCACTGTTTATGAGCAATGCCGCAAACATACATATATAGCTACATAATATAATTGTATATATGCCACCAGTGATCAGTAAAAAAGAACATAGTACATGCCATGCCTATATTTGTTGGAAAGAATTCTTCGATGGCGCTGTCAAAGCTAGCGCTCTTATTGCCGCAGTGTGAAGTATTCCCAAATGGCATTTTATCGCACTTTTATTTTTATGCGTTTTTGTTTTTGTTTTTGTATCTTAGTTTTTATTTTGTTCTTGCTTTAATTACAGGTTTGTATTCATGGCGATTGTTGGCTATTATATTTGTTTAGTTTCATATATCGTTGTTCATGTGTTTAATTAAGCCTGTGATATGTGCAACAGCGAGTCGAGTTTTTATGCTTTTATTGTTGCTTACAGTTAAGTACACATTTTTACTTTGTAAAAGTGTATATGATCGCTTGTGATTAAATAAAGAAGCCCTTTGTCTAGTCTTTCATCGACTTACACTTTCACTACTATAGCAATCTATATATGTAGCTTAACAGCGTATACGATTTATATGAAATTGTCATCAGAATTATCATTGACACGTTTTAACGAGCTACGCACGAAAACCGAACAGTTCTCAGTGACTTTTTGTATTATCTGCAATCTAGCTGGAACAGTGACCATAAAGCTGATATACATTAGAAAACTTACAGCCGAATAGCATCGGTACTATTCGTCCGGTATAAATAATTAATTTTCGGCAATCTATACACGAAAGCTGAACGCATATCGCTTACCCACTTATCAATACCATCACTTTTCACAACAACAATCATCTAAGTGAGACCGCCGTCGCGAGGATCAGCCGCTAAACTAGAGTAATATATTTTCCGTTATAAGGAATGATGATTAGAATAGTTCCACACATAAAAAATTAAGAAAGGCAACGTTAGGTGCTGTTATAGCATGAAACTCTTAAAAAAAAATATACTTATACATATATATATCGATAAACTCTCTTAAATGAGAAGCTAACAAAGTACTAAGCATGAGAAATCTACTATATAATTTAAGTTTAAATAAATTTAATAAATTATTATTTAAATTTTTACTTGATGTGCAATTATGTTCATGGGAAATTTTTATGCCCCGTAGAGAAATAGAATACTGCTGTGAGCGAGAGCGCGCTTTAAATACTTAGAAACTGACTTTGATCCCATGTGACTAACTGGAACTACGAAATCTTGGTATTAACTGGTATTTTATGTGATGTAAAATATTCTTCTTTTTTTTGTTTGTTCTGGGTATTGGTATTGACTCATTTTGTTTGAATGTCAGTGTTCACTGCTAAAATTTATAATAATTGAATGTATTTCACATTAAACGTGATAATTTATTGAGAACCATAATATAATAATTCTTATTTTTTTATATGGAGTAAATACTATGTAAGTATTTGAGTGTTGCTATCAGCATAAGCTTTGACACCGACTTCTCACATTTTTTGCGCTCTGTAACGCTTGAAACTGACCTCACACACCTAAAATTACTCACCAACTTGAGCATTTACTCATTGCTGATAGCATGTTTCGCGGCGCACTGTATTTCTTTGAGTATGCGCACTAAACGGATCTTCGTAGAAGTTGCCTGAACTTTGCACCACTTCCGAATAATACGGTAATATTTAATTATTTTTCGGATTTTGTTTTTTTTTTGTTTGGTTTGTGTGAACTACCGTTTTAGGGGAATTCGTTGGAACTTTAGAGAGTTACGAGTATTTTCTAATGAATCCATTATGCTTAAGAGCTTTTAACATAAAATTTGCAACGTCAGCAACACAAGCAGACGTCAGTCCGTTTTGTTAAAGAGGAGCATGATAAAAATAATGAGTGCAAGTTCCTTCGACAGTTATTACTTGCAACACATACATATACATACACATACTTGTATTTAAATCTTTACGCGTTGCTAATAAATTATTATAAATTGCCAAAATTTGATGGCTTATTTTCAGCTAATAAATATATATGTATACATCTTCGTGTGCATGTATATGATATATTGTGCATGTTTTAGCCGCTGAGTTCATTGCGTCCGGACGAGTTAATATTATTTTATTGTTCTTAATGCACTTTGAGGCTTGTTGGCGATTCTGCCAGTTTGTGACATGAAAAATGCGTTTGGCGTTGCCAAGTTTGGCGATTAAAAGCGACTTCATCATTGTCAAACAAAAAAGTATATATATACTATTAAGAAGAAGACCACTAAGTACAAGAAAAATGTTTTGCATTCGTATGAAATATTTGCAATTCTTAAGCTGGCAAAACGCACATAAGAGTAGTGGAAAAGCATTGCAGAAGAAGAAATAAAAAATTATAGCAACAAAAATATACAAAATCAAAATAAAATTTTTTTTAAATTAAAGCAAAATAAATACGAAACTCAGTGAAGCACAGTTAAATGTGACAAACAGCAGCAAGTCTGTATATTTTGGTCACTTAGCGCCAACACACACACAAACACAGGCAAACATTTTGTCAATCTTTTTTTCTGCACTGCCTAACTTTTCCAAAAACAATGCAACATTTTCTATTTGCGTGGGCACACCAGAAATTTTCTTTCGCCTCTTGCCTACTTGCTATTGTTGTTGTGGCCATTGCTGCCGTTCGTTTCACTTGCTGAATTACGAAATTAAATGTTTTGTAAAATTTATGATGACAGCAACTTTTTATGTATTCATAGCTAATAAATGTGTTTTATTGGATTTTTTTTCTTTTCGATTTTTTGTCGCTTTTGTTCTCCGTTTTTGTTGAAATAACACATTTACGTATACGAAACTGTTTTCAGACTTTTAGCCGCAACTGTATTGATACATATATCATAAATATATGTGTAATTAAGAAATATTAAGTAATTAATTGCTGCTGAATGCAGGCATTTTTTTTTTAATAAATGAATTATACCGTGGCTAATTTTATATAATATTAAGGTGGCAATAGAAAAGCGTTATGCAGAAATGTAAAGAAGACGCAGGAAAATATTTAAAAAAATATTTCGATTTCTTGCTGTTAAAAATAAAATAATTTAACTATTTGCTTTAGCCGAAATAATTCTTATAGCTTACGTTTTAATGAAACATTTTTATAAAGACGGAGAAGGCCAAAAGGATTTTGTTTTTTAAAGCTGTAGAGTATGTAAAACAACTTCAGCTTTTTGTATAAAACACTGTATATGAAATAGCTTAAACTTGTTATTTTGAAAATTGTATATAAAAGAGCTTAAGCTTTATGTATCAATTTAAAAAAAAATTTCAATTTTTCTTGCAGTCTTAAAATTAACAAAAACTTTATCTGAATCGACGCTCGAAATTTAAATCAGGTCTTTTGGACAACAGTTTGATTTAAGTCGTATCGAAAAATCTTCTAAACGGGTAATTTAAGATATTACAAAGTTCCCACACAATAGTTGTAATTAATTCTCGTTCTCGCCGTAAAAAATGTAAAAAATAGGTGTATTTCAGTTGTTCTGGAGTCACGTAACACCTTTAATAAATAAAACATTTGGAATTATTATCGCTTTTAGAGTTTATCACGCAGTTTGCAACATATTAAACAGCTGATCTTGTTAAAATGATACATGCGCCTAATTGTAGGCAACATTTTTTTAAATTTCTTACTTGTAGCTATATAACTAAGAAAAGGAAAGGTATGTGACAGTGCACAATGGTTTTGCCCATAGGCCAAAAATATAAAACGTCATGTTAAAAAAATAGCGAAAAAGTAAGCAAGTTGTTTCTAAAATGTCAAAACTTCTTGATGGCAAACCGGTTTTTTCTGGAAATCTAACGGAATTTTCTAAAAATAGCACTGAATTTGTGCTCACTTATTAACTTTTTAAGAGCGATGCACGCAGTGTGAATGTTTCATAACAAAAGCGAAGTACAAAGTGTTCAGGCGATCTTTTACGTTTCATTTTCAAAATTTCAATTATTTTTAATGAATTTTGAAGTTAAAGGTATTTATTTTATCTTACAAAGTTAACAAAAACTAACTTCTGTTGCAGTTTTTCTTAAATCGATACTTTAGTTTACCCTGTATTTTATGCATTTTGTGTGAGTCTTTAATATGTTAACAAAAAGTTTTAGTTGTGATCCCCCACGATTCCGCCATCCATTTCTTTTTAAGTGTATTTATGTTTGTCTTAAGGTTATGAAAAAGTTAAGTGTAGCTGCCATATAATCTGCGCTGTTGTTGTGCTGTATTTTGTGTGTTCTCAATAATCCTAATATACAAGTACTTGTATATGCAGTTATTACGGGAATTGATAAAGACTTAATGCTCAGAGCTTCAACTTTGTTGCAAGCCATATCTGCGGATCACAAGATTAATTTAGCAAAATTTAGGGACTATGCTCTTGAAACCGCAAAGCAGCTGGTTAAAAACTATCCCTGATTTTATCTTGTTGTAGATTTGCGGAATTAATGGGAAGCAACTGCATTAAAATATAAAAATAAATAAAAATAAAATTTTACTGGTATAATAATAACTAATTAATATAATTAAAAAAACCAAAATTCATACCAGTTTTTTTAAATTTATATAAAAAAAAGAAATAAAAATAAAATCGAAAATATATTTTTGTTATAACATAAAGAAACTAATTTATGCAAACTAAATGCACATAAATGCCCAGTTAAAAGCGTCCACAATACATTAGTCTAGTCTTGTCGCCATTTGCGTGCAGTGGGAAATATTATGAAATTTGTATTTCCTTTCTGAAATTACTATATCAATTAAATTCAATTTGCTGCGCTTTTTTATTTACATTTTTGACGTTTCTTAGCATTTACGCTGCTTTGTTTTCCAACGAAGTTTTGAGAAAAAAGTATAATAAAACTGGACAAGTATGTAGTTTTGTGACCGGGCGCGGGTTGCTGCATTAAGCAAATTCACATTCATGAGTGCTTTACGAGATCACAGATGTCCGTATCAAATACATTTCTTAATTCAATTAGAATGAGCGTATTTAGCACGAGATCAGCGCTACGGCAGTCTGCGCTAGTAAGAGGCGAAGCGTGGCCGTTAGTGATAACGACCCAGTAGTTGTGGCATAAGGCCTGAGGAAACATTGACACTGAACGGAAATGTTTAATAGTATATAAGACACGATTAATTAATACCGTTACTACTATAATGTGACTGATAAACAGTTATCGTTGGGGTTGTCGAGTATGTCCCTAAGTGTATGAATATGTTTGTAAGTAACTACATGCGTGCTTCTTACTAGCATTTCAGTTGGCAAAATGTTTCTCTTTGAGAAAAAAATTAGCAATAAATATTATTTAAGGAATACTAAGCTAAAATTCTGCGAAATAATTGTGGATACTGGCATCACTAAGCTTAATTTAAAACTTAAATATTAATAATGTAATTTTTAAGTATTTTCTTACAAGAAAATGACCAAACAGTCTTGCCATATTCTTCTAATATAAAATGACTACTATTTTGTATATAATTATTTGTTTTTTTTGAGCTACAAAATAATAAGGATATTCAAAAGTAAAAAATAAAAAAAATACAAAGAAAATATTATTTTGATAAATTAAAATATCGCAAAATGCTTTTCATTTGTGAAAAAAATAAGAATTTTTAACAACATTTTGAAAAAATAGAACAAATTTAAAATTCTATTTTTGCAAATAAGAATTTATTGTAGGAGTGTTGCCACCCTATCAGCATATAAAATATCTACGAGGTGTGTTTAATTATGAAATTTCAGATCAATAAGAAAATCTGTATTAATTTTGAAAACTAATTTTCCTTTAAGTTGGAAAAAAACATTTGCTCATTTTTCGGACAAATAAAAGACAAACAAGTAAGGAAGGGCTAAGTTCGGATGTAACCGAACATTTTATACTCTCGCAAGGTCAAATGGTATACTCGTTTGAGATTTCTTTGTGGATTGACTGATATTTTTGGTAGAAGGTCAACTATAGGCACTGGGGTCCACATATTTAGTACTTAGGGGTTTGAACAGTTTTGGTTCGATTTAGACAATTTTTGGCCGCAAGGTGGCATGTTTAATTTGCATTATTCACGCAAAGTTTTACCCCGATATAATCATTTTTACCTGATTTGCATAGTGGAATGTGAAAGAATCAGATGGAATTGAAAATGGTGTTACATGGGAAGTAAGCGTGGTTGTAGTCCGATTTCGCCCATTTTCGCACTATGACATAGAAACATGAAAAGAACGTTATGCACCGAATTTGGTTGAAATCGGTTGAGCAGATCTCAAGATATGGGTTTTCACCTAAAAGTGGGCTGTGCCACGCCCACTGTCTAATTTTGAACGCGGTTCCTATAAAGTCATCCCATACCATCCTAGAGATAAAATTTAATGTCTCTGGCGTATTTAGTGCTTGATTTATCGCGCTTTAAGTAGTTTTTAACAGTACCGTTATATGGAGAGTGGGCGGAGTTGGGACCCGATTTCAACTATTTTCACAATGTAGGTAGAGGTTCTAAAAACATTTGCTTCCAGTGAATTTTGTTATTATAGCATTAGCGGTTTAGGAGATATGCACATTAAACCTATTAGAGGCGGGACCACGCCCACTTTTTTAAAAAAAATTTTAACTGCAGATGCCCCTCCCTAATGTGATCCTGTGTACCAAATAACAGTCTTGTATCTTATTGCGGAGCTTAGTTATGGCAAGTTATTTGTTTTTGATTAATGGCGTTTTGTGGGCGTGGCAGTGGTCCGATTACGCCCATCTGCAATACCAACCGTCTCACGGTACCATGAAACATGTCTACCAAGTTTCATAAAGATATCTCAATTTTTACTCAAGTTAGAGCTTGCACGGACGGACGGACAGACGGACAGACGGACGGACAGACGGACGGACGGACAGACAGTCACCCGGATTTCAACTCGTCTCTTCATCCTGATCATTTATATATATATAACCCTATATCTAACTCGATTAATTTTAGGTGATACAAACAACCGTTAGGTGAACAAAACTATTATACTCTGTAGCAACAGGTTGCGAGAGTATAAAAATAAAATAGAATGACCTTAAATCGCTTTGCATATACATATGTCCAACTGAGACAACACCTTTCAGCGGCTATGTAAATCGAGCAGCTGCAATAATTTATGACAATTTTTTTCTAAAAGTAAATAACTCAAAATTTATTGTAACCTCGAAGAGATCACTCACAAGCAGACAAATGATTCAAGAAAGCCACTATAAATCATTGCAAATGTTGTAAAATTTAACTAATAATTTTGACAAACAAATTCTTGTCTGTAAAAAAGAATTACAATGTGATTATTGTTTTCACAATATTAACAAAAATAGCTTAAAAACAATAAAAACAATTCAAAAGTGAAAACATGGAAAATAACATGTTTTAACAAGATCTTAAGTGCCCTTAACACAGCACTCGAGAGTTCGAAGTGTCTTTTCAGCAGCGCGCCAAAGCATACACAATCACGAGATAAACAACGGATATAAAAATAAAGTAAATAAAAATTGGACGAAAAATATGCAAACATGCAAGACACAGATAAATAAGAGGAAAAAAGCACTAACTTAAACACTCAGCAGAATCAAGGCATGATTAGTCAAAAATGGAACGCAACTTAGCTAAGATAAAATTTTTATTCGACACAATACCGAAGCACAGCGGCACTTCAACAAGGAATTTCGCAAGTAAGTATGTGTGAGTATCTGTGAATATGTACTGTATGATATTCAATTTTCGTTGTTTGCAAATTTGTTTGCTAATATTTTAAGAAAATGTATAATTGACCACTTGCGCGTAATAGTCAGTTGTTGTTGCTACAAAGTCGTGTAGTAGTTGTTGTGTGTGCACTGAAAGGTTAGGTCGAAGTTGGTAGAATGAAAAAATACTGTGTATATGTGAAGGAGAGTTAAGGCTCGATTATGTGATGGTAATCGGTAAACTAACCGAAAAATTACGAGTTTTACTCACGCTCTTCTCATATCTACACTATGCGATAGACCACAGGATTCAGACTATTTATAGGGTCGAGGGTTCGTATATTTTTATAATTGAAGCTCATTTTCAAAATTGAAGCACATAAATCTTCAAATTTCTTTACAACAGTAATCTTTCAACGTTTCGATATGCATAATTTTTTTGTAAAATTTTCATAACTTTTTTATATTTTAGAATGTCTCCAGTGCAGTGACTAATTATTTAACTCCATAAATCAATTGTAATTGAAAACCAATAGACTGCAAAAAAAACCGACGCAAGCGTTTATCACTTCTAACAACTATTTGAATTAATAAAATGTCAAAAATATAGCAAGAGACACTTTTGAGCAACAACATAAATATCTTTAAAAAAACTCGGTATAAACAAAACCTGTCCATAGTGAGCGAAATGATTTTTCAATGTTAATCAGCAGTGAAATGTGTCAGCGTTTTGTAAGCTTTCAAATTAGATCAGGTTTCGCGCATCATAATTTATATGAAACCGATTTAAGATTGATATAACAAAACATTTTAGCAGTGCAGACTTGTCACGATCGCGGCTTAATTTATACAATCAATATTCAGAAGGTATTTAGTTTGTAAATATATTTCGCAAGCGCTTCTTACCTGTAATGGGTGGTGGCTCAACAATGGTTGACGGTCCGAAGAATGAAGGAATATCGTTGGATGTGGTGACGGGCGTATTCAGATCGCCCGTCTGCGTATCACCGCACTGCGCGTCCGACGGCAATGACTGCTTGACAATGCCGCTGACGATATCTACGCCGTTGGGAGTGGCGACGACGCCACCTAAACTGGCTGCCGCGTGACTGCCCGGACTGTGTTGTGCGGTATTGAGCAGACTCAAATGTGTAGCGGAATTGCGTCCACTATTATTACTGTTATTATTTGTGCTGTTGGCTGCCGTGATGGCGCTTGCCGCGAGAGTTGGTGATGTTAGCGCCGCGTTTGCCTGCTGCACGGCGGTCGCTACTGTATTACAGCTGTTATTGCTGCTGTTGCTATTGCTGCTGCTGTTGTTGTTGTTGACAATACGCGTGAAATTTGTGCGTGAAATAGCAGCGCTCAGCGCTGAATTTGTACCTGCTACTGCGGATGTAGCAATATTATTGGTGGTCGGTGTATTACACGCGCTGCTGCTGCTGCTGCTGCTGCACGCAATGGCGGTCTGATGATTATTATTCGCCGTCGAGAGATTGTAGTGGAGTAGCGTTTGAGCGGCACCCAAATGGCCACCGCCAAATGTATGTGATGGGGTGCTGAGATAGGTGGCCGCCGATGTGGCCGCGGTCGAGGGACTAGTCTGTGCGGTGGTCTTAAAGAGACACGTATCGAAGCTCAGCACATTAAAGTGTGCGGCGGCGGCGGATTCGGTTAGTAGGAATGCGTGATGCGATGGCGCCACAAGGGTTTCAAGCCCTTCCATGATCATGGCCGCTGATGGGGTTCCAGGGGCTACGCCACCTGCAAGCAGAAGCGTAAAAGAATGTTTAGTTTACTAGTTTTAAGTATAAAGTAAGATATTTGTATAAATATAAATAGATAAGAAAGCACTACAGTTTTCAAAAGCTATTTAACATATTAACTCATTTATTTAAATGTATTAATTAAGAGCTGTATTGTGCTAATTTACAGGCAAAATAGAATACTGTAAGTTAAATATTTTGTAAATAAAATGTTAGTTGAGTTTCCACTCCGATTTTTCAAAAATATGTTTTAAGCATTATTCCACAAACTATTTTTTAACATAAAAGGAACTAAAGGTTAATATATTATATAATGAAAATTTATCAACATAACTATAATACAAGCTACTTTTTAGGATCTAAGAGCAGGATTTACGATTCATATTCTTAACAAATATATATGTATAAGTAAAAATATAATTATTTCTAAAGAAAAACTAAGCTAGAAAATGTTGAATGCTAAAAAGTTTATTTTTTGGCAAAATTTATTTTTAATACCCACTCTTTAATTCTTCATGAGAGCGTGCATAAAGTAAGTGTCTTCAATAGATTATGAGTGATTTATATGTCAACCAGTTTTGTTACTTAGTGTCAGCTAAATTGTTTTCAAATCAGTGTGCGAAAGGTGTGCGTCTTAGATATACGTTAAATGAGTGATTTTCCACTAATAGAGTATTATTAAAATATTGCGGGGTTTTAAAATGATGTTTGGATTTCTAACTGATGGTATCAAAATTAATTAAAAGATTTTAATTAAAACTTTTTCAGTCGAATAAACTTAAAAATATTTGCAAAAGGTGTGTGTCGTCGATAAAAGTTAAGTGATTTATGTATTTTCGTTGAAAATTAGTGCAGTAAGAGTAACTTATAATTTGTTTTAAGCAAATAGAGCACTGAACGAAAAATTAATGAAAGAAATACCAAAATATTTTATATACTAATAACTCTCATTTCTAAGGGAGCCAAAATATATGGTGTTCTTTAAAGCAAATAATTTAATTAATTGTATTTTATTAAGGACAATTGAACTTTCATTAATTAAAAATATATATATATTTTTTTAATTTCAATTGTCATTACAGTCTCGTTTTCTTGTGAACAAATGTCAAAATCTTGCGCACTAAACATTAATTGGATTGCTTTGACAGCAATTAGATGTTTCTATTGCCAAGCAGCAACATAGAAAAGGTTGTTCAAAACCAATTACTAATTACAATACTTAAAAAATTTCGACTAACAGACGTTTATGGTTACAAATAATAGAAACTAGCAACTCATTCATTACATATTTATTTGATTATTTACGACAGCAACAACGATCATAGTATAAAATATCAGCCACCAAATGGTCTGACAACTGTGCACCCACACACGACACGCACTCAGCCGATCAAGTCACTTTTATACTCAATCGTGCCAACGAATGCGCTGACAACTAAGCGCCACGCCAACAATTGCAACGTGTCGCCAGCAGCAACAACAGTGTTTAGAACTACTAGTTGTTGTATGCAATTGAATTAAAATCGATTAAGCACTTAAACACAACGGGCCGAGTGAAGAAGGAGCCTACCAAATAAAGAAGCACGAGTAACTTACACACACACACATACATATGCTTTGCAGTGTGAACTCATGGAGGGAGGTTTCTGCTCAATAAAGTGCGGGCGGCTTGCGCATATACCAGCTACCAAAGTGTTCCAGTTCCCATAATGCTTTTTGGCAAGCTGTGTGCTAGGCGTTTTGTCTTCAAGTCGATCAGCACTGACCCACTTTCAACAGTCTCAGATGTGTGTGTGTAAGTGTGCATTTGTGAGAGAGTGTGTGTAGAAACAAGTCATACTTTTGTGAATATTCGCTAAAAGCATGCGCGCATGCGCATCAATTGTCTCATAAAAATGTCTAATATATATGTGAATGGGCAATTGCCACTTTTATGTGTATATATCTTCATAAATATGTAAGTATTATGTGTTCATCTTTAGTGTAGCTTACCAATTTTTTTACTATTAAAAAGTTGTAAAATATATCACTTGACAATATACTTTGGAAAACGACATTAATTTGCCATTATTTACACACGAAAGCTGTACATACATACATATACGAGATATATATTAGCATACATATAGGTATACTTGTATATACATATATACTTGTATACAGAGCTAGGTGCTCATATGCATACTCAGAGCTTAACTCTAGCTATGTCTATGCTCATATGTTGGTAAGTACATACGAATAAATGCCTCACCGCCATCACTGATGTCACTAATTTAATTTCATGCGTTTAATTGAATTTCACTTGACGGCATACAAAATGTCGAAATTGATTATTTTATGGTTTTCTATTGTCTTTTAAATATGTCATAAATTAGACGAGTGACGCGTTGTTATGCTTGAACGCTTAGCGTTTAGATGTTGGCATTATTTCGTAAAAATCATGACAACACTTCGAAAGTCGTACCAATTTACTCGAAACAAATTCGCGAACCCAAAAAGTTCCAAAAAAAATGAAGGCTTATTATCATAAATATCAACCAAAATTCAAAAATATATTATTGTGTAAAAAAAAAAAAATTTATAAATAAAATCCAACAGCCTCTCAGCTCCTCATAATGCTGTTCACTTGAACTGCATGGCGCTTGACAAAACATCACTTTAGCAGCCCGCCAATTTCAAGCAGTGTCGCTACAACAACATCAACGCGAGTACCAAGCTATATGCAAACATACAGCTATATCTGTATATACCCGTAGTAGTCGAAACCTCAGCGTCGACCTCACGGCTACTCATTTTAGTCGACATTTTTCGCTTTTATTTAATAAATTTTTAGCGCCTCCATGCATGCATATATATTTACATATATATATATATTACTAGGTACATATATATGCATTTAATATTTATGTAGAGGAAGCTCTTTTCAACCATTTGCTCCTCGCTTGAAGTGCACTTGATGTCAGAATCTCTGCGCTAAAATAACTACTGTGCGCATATATTTATTTAAATAAATAAAAAAACGCACTTTTTCTCTCTTTGTTTATTAAGCTTTTGCAAATTGTACGAGTTATTCATTGACGGAATTGCCGTGAAGTGTGTACGAGCACTTAAGTATGTATTATCAACGGTCAGAAGTGAAACCGAAGTGTGCGAGCGCTCCATTTTTCTTGTTTGTTTTATTTTTAAGCGATGTGGCAATATATTTATGCAAAATTATTCACGTTAATAACGTGGCGAATATCTGCTAATAATAGAAGTGTAGGTACATTTTCTCAGTAAAATAATTAAAATATCATTCAATCTGTCTTAAGTAAAAAAAATTTATACTGTATTAAAAATCTCTTTCAAAGAATTTTTAAATTAATTTTGTGGCATATTTTCAACTTGTGTAGAACTATGCAACGATTTTCAATTAGCTTACGCTGTAACTAATTAAAATAATTACTGTAAAAATAAAACGTTGCCTACCTTAAGGAATTTTGATAATATTTTAGCCATTTCACGAAGTAAAAATCAGCAATATTATTCATAAACTTAAAACGCCGTATAATAATGCACATCCAAACAACCATTTTTTCCTAAAATAGCTAGGGAAGTTCAACTGTGAAATTTAATAAATATCTATTAATTTATCTTAATGATTGCGCTTTAATGTAGGCTAATTTTTGTTATTTATTTGATTTTTACTATTTTTTATTGGCAGCCTTTTATATAAAGTAGTTTTGTATTTATAAAAATAGGTTAGACTCTGCATAATTTAAACTTTTATGGTTTCTAATTTGCTTATTGGCTACTATTTACTTCATTGATTTCGCCAAAATGTAGGCTAAAATACGTAATAATTTTAAATACTTTAAAATATTTTATATAATACGTAGAAAAAAATACAAAATTACACAGAGCTTGGAGTTAATGAAATGTTTATGCTAATCATGATTGCACCAAAATGTAGGTTAAACTTTTATACTTTATTCTATATTTGATAAATGCGATTTATATACAAGTACCAAGAATTTACGAATATTGAAAAGTATTTATTTAGAAAAAATATATTTCTTAAAAACTTTAAACGTTCCATCCATATTTTTCAAAGTTAAAAGTTTTATGTCCACCTTTCGGCAAAAGTGTTTTCTCTGTTCTATGATATCTCTTTCAATATTAACGTAAAATAGGTTATGGAAAAAAATGAAAAATATGCATATCTTGTTTCACTGTAGGAAATAAGAAATACAAGAAAATAAATACAGCTAGCCAGTGTTAAGAATCGAGAGATATAAAAAATCTATAAAAACAGTATTAGAATCACTTCCAATAGCTACAATATTGTATTGCAATAATTCATTCATATTTGTGACTAAACCAGCAAAGCTTGATCGAAAGCAAATACATGCAAACGCACACATACATTGAAATTGTCCCAGAGTTATTGAAAAAACCCAAAACAAAACAATATTCAACAAAAAAATTTGCATCAAATAGCAACAACTAACTGCTACAGCAGTGAATCACAAGCTAAACACACACATACATACATACACATGTACATATGTAATTGTATTTAAGCATCTCATAAGAATCACAAGCGAACGAACGTTTCGTTTCAGCAAACAGCAAAGCCGCATTTAAGCTCAGCTCAGCCGTGCTCTACTAAATAGTTGGTGGCGTCGGTGGCATTGGCAGCGCTGCTCGAATGGCGCTGTGTAACTGGTGAATGGCTGTCGTTGTATATACATATGTATGTATGGCTTTGTGTGTGAGTACCTATGATCGGCAGACATCATTGACACTCCTCTTAAATGATGCAGCAGTTCCGAAGTTGTTGCTTATTTTGATTTCTTTATACTCTGGCTAGATTTTAGAAGTGGTTTTCTTTATATGTCCGTGTTTTGCTACAACTTTGCTTGTTTTTTGTGGCTTTTTATTTCGATACGGTTGTCAGCAAAGCTTGCTTTTTAGCATTATGCGGAGCGGGTGTTGCGATTTAGTATATACATACAT